CTGGGTAAACGTCGAAAATCATTGAGAAAAGTCAACTGTTAGACTAGATCTTCTAATCTGTATTTTTCTTCTTTTATCCAAAGAGGATTGTTTGGTTATTACTGGAAAAGAGCCACCTATTATAGAAAGAAATTCTAATTTCTCAAGGGCTTTATGCCATCCATTCTGTTTCGAATAACTTCTGACTCTCATAGAAATAATGTTTTTGCATCAAAACTGGAATAAGAATATTGCCTTATATCCATCAATGCTTTCATTCGGGAAGCATTTCGATATAAGCATCATCAATCTGCCATTCAAACAACTGTCATGATTTACATCGAAAATCGAGAAAATCATTTCGAAAAAGTTAATACGAGAAGAAGCTCTAGTATTAGTTGAATATTTAAATTTACTAAATAACTTGACTTCGATGCTTCACAATGCAAAACATAAAAGTATGTTTTCATTTGTATTTACATTAAAAAAACTATTTTGAATATACAGAAGTGAAATGAGAGAAATGAAATTATTTCCAAACTCTAATGATTTAGTAAGTTTAGGCAGTAGACCAAAACCCAAACAGTTTAGATTTAGGTTTGGTGAATGTCTATTTAGTATCGAAGGTACTGATAGATATTTATATTGAAATACTAGACTTAGCTAATATTCTTTATGCGTTTTTTCTATTTATTCTAAAACGATAAATATTGATTATTAGAGGCATAAGAAGAAAATAATACTTCAACTTACTTCTGTTAACAGCGTTACAACAATTTCTATATGAATATATGAAGACGCGTATATATGTCTATGACATGCGAATGATATATGGGTGTATGCTAATCTCAGTATCGAATATGGAAGCGAGAGAATAAAAACTACCATATCGGAATAACGACTGCCTTAACATTACAAGATAAGAGATAAATATGTATGTATGTGATATGAAAGAGAGAAAAAAGAAATGTTTTCCATTAGAATACTCTTCAGAAGAAGAAGAAGAAGAAGAAGAAGAAAGTATACGAAGAGAACCAGTAAGTATCTGCTCGTTTTGGAAAGAAGAAGATATTCTACAGATGGGTCCTTCTTTTATCTTAGGTACTACTAAGGAAAAGAAAAGAAAATGAAATCAAAAAGAAATAATGACTTTATATAAGACACGACGGAAATAACTGATGAGAAATACACGGTGGTCTAAAATTCATTTTATAGAAGGAAAAAACTTGAATGTTTCTGCTGTATTTTCACCAAATGGACTGATCTTTTACCACTGATAACAGAATGTTGATAGATCATATTCATAAAAAAATAAGACATTAACAAACATTACTTCGAAGTATTATCGTTGACTTCAATGAAGAACTGTAACCTTTCACAAATTAAAGTAAAATTATACTACAATTTTCCTTTCCAAATTCTTACTATTCATAGCTGAAAATGTCAGAATAGAATGAGTAACAGGCTGTGTATCTACTCTGTAAATTCTACATCAAACGATACTTCTGTGTAGAATTAATATAAAATAAAATGTGTAGCTTACTTTTGATTGAAAAAAATCATTGTAGTGGTTTTTCATGAGTTGTGAAAGATTACAACTTTTTATTGATGTTAACGATGATACTACAAAGAAATGTTTGTCAATATTTTTCTTATGAATATGATCAATCAACATTCTCTTGTCAGTCGTAAAAGAATCAACTCATTTGGTCAAAGTATGACAGAGATATTCAATTTTTTCGATAAAGTGACTTTTGAACCACTGTATATGTTTCTTTTTTTGAAATTTTCATTTTTTTTAAAAATAAGTATAGAATAAAAGCATAGGTGAGAGTGTGTGGACTTTTAAAATGAACCATATGATTGAAGATCTTTGTCTAGTCTGCAAGTCTTCAGAAACTCTAGAGAAACAAATTAAAATGACTTATAAAATACTGAACTCAATTCAATTCAATTCAACTAAAATAAATTTATGAAATTGTTTTTGTAACATTTATTTACCTAATAATACCATTGAAAAGTCATGACTATGATTTGTAATTTCTCTCCAGGAATTTTATCTCTAGATAGTTGAATCACGCCAGCATTATTATATATACTTCTGTTACACTCGCACCAACTTATCCCTATTTTCTTTTCTTTTCTTTTCTTTTTTTGATGAGTGCATATAATTTATGCACCGATGTATTTTCCTTTTATTTCAGCTTATAGATACAACATTCATTTATCTTTATCTCATAGGGCAATATCGTGTATAGTATTTGTTTAGGTGAATTGATATAATATCTATTGTTAAAGATATATCTCTTATAATATAATCATCTTTTGTTCAATAGTATTTAACTTAGCTATGACCTTTTCTTGTGGTTTATTTTTGTTGTTAAATAAATATTCGAAATCATTCTATAGTAAATAATCCTAGTTATATTCTAAAGTGAAGAGAACGGTTATTTTTCATGCAATCGATAACAATAAAACTCTTTCTAACTTGTTCAATGAAGGAGAACAAGAACAAATGTATTAACTAGAATTTTCGAATGTGGCTGACTTGAATTGAATTGAATCAAATTAAAAAAAAACTTTTTCAAGATATATGAATCGAATTCATTTAAAGGTTTCTTTCAATGAATTGAATTGAGTTGATCAACTCTAAGAAAACAGCTATAAATGATGGAAGTTCACGAAAACTTAAAGAAGGATACATTGTCAGGAGGGTGGAGTATAATGGGAGAACATATATCTCAACTATCCACATTCCTACATCTTTATTTGAACTTATGAATGCGGCAAACTCAAAGCCTTGATATTTAGTAAGATAAAATAACATCAACAATGATCTAGTTTACTAGTGGTGCGACACAACTAGAAAAAGAATTTTGAGTTTGGGACTAAATCCTTAGTATTTGAATCTGAATTTGAATTTGATTGTGGACAACTTCATTCACTACGACTGCATTCACAACACACATCTAAGAATGCAACAAATTTAAAATATATCTGGAATTTGATTCATATTTGTATTTGGAGGTCATGTTTGGATTTGCTTTTGGAACAAATTCACATAAATAGTATACAATAAGATGACCATTATCTAATTGCAAACTATTTTTATTATTTTGGTTCAGGATTATATCTAAAACCAAACTAAAATCGAATCGAAATCTAATCTGAAATCCTAATCACATGAAACTAAATCCTTAGGCTTTCGGTTTGTTGCCTTCCTACTCACACACATTCGAATTCCACATTCCACGCCTACATTCACATCAACACCCTGAAACAAATTTTAAAAAAGAAGTGATTTTAGCCATTTAATATTTTATAGTTCAATAATTTTCTTGTAGTTATTTATTGGCACAAGCAGTAATATTTTTTACAATTAATTAAACAAGATATGATCTTTACTTGACATATAAGTTTTACTTCCGACTTTACATCGTCAAATCCACTGAATGAATCAGACCTACAATTATTATTTAAAATTTATCTATGGAATTAATAAACATTCACATTCATAATTATTTGTTATAACAGTCATTCCATATAAACCATGAACTACCACTATAGAAGAATGCTCAATTAGTTTCGTGGATTTGCACAAAATCTATTCCATCTGGTAGTGTATGTTGTTTTAGGTATAGAAACAGATTTATTGACCCATTGAATATCTTCTTCCCAAGATCTTAGGATCATTCAAATGATTTTTCATTTCAATTGTCTAAGACTTTGATTGTATAACAAAAGAGAAATCATCTTTTACACAGATTTTCTTCATAAAATACTTATGAGATATCTCTATCAAGCCTTATTTTTCAAATGTTAAGAAGTTAAAGACTACTTGATGATGCAAACGAAAGTTTCGAATCTTTGGTTCAACAGAATCGGTCGTAGCGTGCATGAAGTAGCTCATTAAATGAATGTTTATTGTAAATTAGACAAATATTGAAATCAAAGGAACTATAGTCAATGAATAAATCATAAATAAAATATAGATGATTCAAAAATGATAAAAATAATTCATAGTAAAATAGAAAATGAATCACTGAGTAGATTATTGCATGATTTGCAAAATATAGAATATATCCGATCAGCTAAGAATTCTAAATTAGATCATAATTCTTTATAATCATTCATTTTCACTTGTATAATCGCATTTTGTACTCATTGATATGATTTATTGATTTGAACATAAGAAATAAGAATAGAAAAAAACTTTTATTTTTATGTGATCTAAACGAAGAATTTCAATTGGTGACTTATTCTAAATAATTAAAATATCAAATGAATTAAAACAGAAAAATATTAAGTTTTTCATTTTATACATTTTAGAAGAATTAGTAAGAGTTTATTCCATTGTTATTAAGTTTAGTTCTAAGGTTTTTTGTCATTTATTGTTACTTAACAATCGATTTTCTCATATTAGAACCATGAACAATAAATCATTAAAGTAAAAATTTAGAAAACAAAGTAATTATATTCTATAATAATCGTTTCTTTTCCTAGAAAATTATCGTCACTCTTGCTTTTATTATTCTTTCTCTATCATTTTAAACGAGCATGAATATGATTTTTCTTACATTTAAATTCATTCGATTGATTAAATTATTTACAATATTACTAGAATAACTTTGTATCATGCTCGATACATGCATATATGAGTTCAATTCCAACTTGATTTCGACAGAATTTGAAAGAGAATTGATATCGATTAGGTAGAAAAACTAATGGAATATGTGAAATAACAATTAATGATTGATAAGAAAGTGCTAAGCATTGAAAGTGTTTTCAATCTAATGAGAGTGTAGATGTTAGTGTGCATTGAAAACAATAGAAGACCTGAAACCACACCCTAGATCCACACGCACACCTATCGTTCGAAGAGATCTCGACAAAACAATCTCTAATTGTTGTTCTCCAAGTTTCAAGATGATTTATTTAAATGAAGAATAGCTACTCTTCTTTTGTCTTCTACTTAACAGTGTCAGTAGTGCAGTTTATTAAATGGACTTTGCCCTGTGTTATTATGGCATTTGTTGAAAAAGCGTTATATACCAACCCAAGTTGGTTTCTTTGATCCGCAAAAACTTGCTGTCAAAATAATTTAAAGCAGCTCGACCATGTCCGATTTCATAAATGACAACTGTCCAACCTTTTCCATAAGTGGATTCGAGCCATTTTTGAACATCTTGAGCGATTTCAAACATATTTGATGATCCACGTGTGTCAATTGAAGTGTTGATTGTGCTTAATATATTAATTCTCATTGTATCCGTGATTCCTGATTTTTGTGATTCAATTTCCCATCTTCCCATTCTGATTGATGTGAAGAATAAATATCTAGAGTAGTCAATTTTCAATTATACCAAGATCACAGTGTGTTTATATTGTCCATTTACTTGAATTTATCTCGATGAGGGTTTAGATGTTGATGAGTTCGAGCTACCATGATCGATTTCGACGTCACCCATCATGTCTCATCCGATAGATTCATTTCGGTTTCCTCTACAATGAGAGCTTTTCTTGTCTGATCTACGAATAGTGCTATTTCAAAATAAGGCATAAAGAAGTCCTTGAAAGAGAGGAAACCGAGTTCAAGTTATCTGATGAGACTCTTCAAAAAGGTTAAAACCGATCACGATAGCTCTATTCACCATACATCCTCACGCTTACCCATGCCTCTCTAAGCTGTATCGGGGTATCTCTCGTTTTCTACTTGATGTCTCACCTAGACATCAGCAGAACCGCTTTGACTATACGTCACGAAGCACAATTCATGCCGTTAAGGGAAACGCGAAACAATGGAGTAACGAACGAGAAAATAAACTACTCTATTTTGAGCGATACATATCTGCAGATTAAAAAGCGACACCCAATTGAAATTTTGGGTATGAATGAGGGTGACTGAAAGCAAGACCCTTACTCATTTGCATGCAAACTGTGAAAATTTCGCCTTTTCCAATACTTTACTCGAAAGCCTTATTTATTCTTAAATCATGTTCGCTTTCTATATCAGATGTTTAACACTCATTCTAGTTATAATTTCGGCCTTAATAATTATTAGGAACATTTAGGTAAGCAATCAATGAGCGAAAAAGATTCGATATTGAATACCGAAGTGAATTAAGATTAAATATTGCTTTCTGAAGGAAACTATTTTGAAAGTCGAAAAGCCAGACGATTTTGGAAATTATGAGCAATGTTATTGCTTGGTTATATTTTGTTTCTAAGATGGAAGAACCACTATGTACTAACTACATTACATATTTCTTTTCAGAATCTGATGGTGAATGTTTTCGGGAAAAATTATCGAGTATTGTCGATAAAAGTTGATAAAGATTTCAACTATATACTGAGAAAACTATTTATTCTGGCTGACTCATGAAAAACGAGATTTGACTATTCTTATACTGAAAAATAACCTGAAAAAAAGTCAAAAATTGTCCAATCGGTTACGTCTTTTACACTGAAGAGAAATATCCTACTGATGTCGTAGAAATAGGTTATTATCATTTTAACTTAGGAATTTGGATCCACGTGTGTTTACACTTATAACCTTTTTCATCTTACTAAGTTTCCATCAATCTCATTC